TGGCAGCCCTGTGTTTGTTGACATTCGACAGAAGGAAACTCACAATAGTAAACAGTCTATGGAATCAAAGTAAAACAATATTAAAACAAATATCTCAATGTAATGATTTGTTGAATGATTATATGTACCTTACCCTAATGTAACCTAACCTAACCTTATCTAACATAGCCTTAACCTAACCTAACCTTATCTAACATAGCCTCCACCTAACCTAACCTTACCTTATCTAACATAGCCTTTACCTAACCTAACCTAACCTTATCTAACATAGCTTAACCTAACCTAACCTAACCTTATCTAACATAGCCTCCACCTAACCTAACCTAACCTTATCTAACATAGCCTCTACCTAATCTAACCTTACCTTATCTAACATAGCCTTTACCTAACCTAACCTAACCTTATCTAACATAGCTTAACCCCCTAACCTAACCTAACCTAAATTTGAAGAGATAATTAAAGGTTAAAACCCATAATAGTGGTATCCTATGTTACTAATTTTGCAACGGAAAAAAAAATCATTACTGAGAAGAAAAAAAAATGCATTACCACTTAATTTTTACCTCCTTTTATTAGGTTTGATGAACTTAGATTAGGTGAGGTATTATTTAACTCTGAGTCATGGGTACTTATTGGAGACTTGACAGAATAACTTGGTCCTAACAAAGGCGGAGTCTTGGCAAAAATGTTCACTTGACCACATAATTGGCTTTCATTACTGAAGGATATTTACAGCTATACCACATTAATAAAGTCTATCTGCAAGTTAACTCAGTCATAAAGAATATTTGTACCATAAATGTGGACAATATAAATCTTCTATTTTGGTACAAATTACTTGATAAGAAGACAAAAGCTTAGTTTCTTTCTTTCCACGACAGATTTAAGCAAACTCAAGCCTCTTATCGTAAAAAAAGAGCACTAAAAACACAAACTGTAATATAGTATTGAGTGGGTTTTGAGTATACGGCCCCCGATGTGTAAATTTATGATTGTGTTCTGTATACACACACACACACACACACACACACACCACACACACACACACACACACACACATCACACACACACACACACACATCACACATACACAAGACCATAAAAGTCATACGCCTTAACGACCACCACCGCCACAACTACAAAGCGACACAGACAAACTAGTACAAAAGTCTTTATATCCAGACAACATTACGGCGCTAATTCCTTGTCATATTCCCGGCTCGCGTGACTCACAGCCATACAGGAATTTAACAAGCAACATATTTCTACCAAGACGACGGCTAGAAGCTCGATGATACACGGTGGGGTATACAGAAGATGGCTGTCCAATGTGAAGGTCCAGTCCTGACTCCCTCAGGTCTGTGTATTACTGTAGTGGTTACCTGCTCTCCTGGCCCATCATGTGGTCCACTGAGTACACTAGAGTACAACATAGAACAACATACTTTATTTATCATGAGACAGACAGACAACCACACGCACACGCACACGCACACATACACGCGAACGATCCCAAAGAAGAAAACGAGATTTAAAACCCACATCTTACGAGGAAATTTATCGATGATTTTTTTTTCCTTAACTAAACCACAGTAGCCCCCAGGAGTCACCCATTAACGGGGATTTATTAACATTCACCGTGGCAGGAAAAACAAATGAGACACGGGTGGTGGTGGTAGTGGTGGTGGTGGTGGTGGTGGTGTGTGTGGTGGTAGTGGTGGTGGTGGTGGTGGTGGTGGTGTGTGGTGGTGGTGATGGTGGTGGTGGATGGTGGTGATGGTGATGGTGATGGTGGTGATGGTGATGGTAATGGTAATGGTAGTGGTGATAATGGTTAGGTATTATTTATTTCGATGTGTTAATTTTATTGTCTAGGTAGATTGATATTACCTGTATGGTTAATTACATTTTTTTATTATTATTATCGTTATTACTGTTTTTTGTTATTATTGTTGTTTAGTTATTATTATTATTATTATTATTATTATTATTATTATTATTATTATTATTATTATTACTTCGCATACAGTAGTTTAGTTTAGATTGAGGACAAGCACATCAGCTACAAAAACCACACAAGGTCACAGAGGATTACAAAAGGTCATACAAGGTCACAGAAGGTCATAAAAGGTCAGAGTGGAAGGGGGGGGTGAGGGCGGAGGAGTTAACGGCAGTCTGAGATATTCCTCAAGCGAGCGGGATATATTTATCAATATTCCATCTGAGAGACGACCAATACCTCCTCTCTCCTGCTCAGTGGTATATATAAACACACATGTATACTGGTATATCTGCATACATGAATATACATAAATATACACTTAGATGCTCACAGATCGCGGCCCGAGAAAGACGTATACACCAAATTGGCTTTACGAGTGTGTGTAGTACTCACGAAACACGCCAGGCTGAATGTTTTTATTTGCCTACAGGGTAATATGTTTTGTTTTTTAGTTTTACGGTAGACGCATAAAGACAAGACACTTTAACACACACACACACACACACACACACACACACACACACACACACACACACACACAGAGAGAGAGAGAGAGAGAGAGAGAGAGAGAGAGAGGGCCCAAGAAATTGCTGTGTCGCCGTAAACATGGAGAAGAAATGTAAAGTTGAGTGAGAGAGGTACAGCACATAAGACCTACCTGAAGGGGATGTACAGGAGAGGGGGTTGGTGGTGCTGGTGCTGGTGGTGGTGAACTGAATTTTGTTTTAATTTTGCAACAAGTACCGGTGGCGTAAAATGAGTTAAAGAGTAGAGGTCACAAAGGGTGTTTCTCAGACCCCAGTGTTGAGGATATTGTTGTAGTACATTGTTTGTTTAGTTCTGTGTTTGAGAGTTGACTTATCCACACCTGAGTGAGGGGGGCAGACTGTAGGTCATATGTCTGGCTGGGCACTGTTATTCTCATCAACATCAGAGGCATTATGGTACATTGTGTGTTCAGTTTTATATATTTGAATTGTTTTAGCTACGAGGCAAAAGGTTGATACAATCTCAATATGTCGGATCAGTCCATAAAGTGGTGTGTTTGATCATAGTGTAAGGCATAGTGTTGGGGTGTGTACCCATATGTCTGGCCTCACACTTTACATTTAGTTTTGTTTACATCTGCTTGAGGAACATACTGCCAGAGGTACTTATATCCTAACCTTAGTCTAGCGGTTACATCTTGTAATCTAGTGATCTTGTTACGTGCTCCATATACATGTTTCACTTGACATATCTCATCATGGTAAACAATGGATCGACTATTGACTGTTTGCACTTGTCTGCTTGCTTTAAATTCATTAGAAATTTCGTGATTACAGACCTACATTGTATTCAACAGTGCCTTTGTTAGACGTAAGTTTGTCTAAGCCTAAGCAATCAACTACCATTGTTCTCCGAGGCCTTGTGTGTGTGAGAGGGGATCCACAACAGTTTCATCCTGTCACCCCGGTCAATGAGGTTTGCATACTTGTGTCTGGCTTCAGAGACAAGCCCGTGGCAACTGAAGGTGTCAAGGCCAAGTAGTGAATACAGAGAATCAGTGATGATGAGACCGTCTGTGGCAGTGACTTCAATAAGTTATAGGCCTGTACCCTTGCCTGCCTCTTAAACCCTCCAGATTTCAGTGTCTCTCCTGCTCGTTTATCTTCCGGAAACGTTAGAGGCTTAAGGTGGCAGCCCCGTCTCTCCCTGGCTGTGAGATGCTCCCTGGGCGGCCTCTTAGACAGGTTTAATCTCTAGGAAAAATCCAAAGCACTTAATATAACCTCGCTTATTGGGTGGTTGGCAGGGGAGGGTTATGGTGGTGGGGAACCTTAGCGGTGAACATGACTGTTTATTTATCAATGTTGTTTTTATTTTTTTCACATTGTTATTTCATTATTTGTTTTCCTTGACGTGATGACAGCGAAACAGATTGCACCCTCTCTCAAGAACCACCACCATTCTTACCCCAGCTACTTATTCCTGACATTTCAAAACACGAGAGAATTTGCTGACGTGGATCTTGAAATACCACAGCAGCTGACATTCATCGTTGCTGCTGACCTAACACAAATGTCAGCCACCAGTCTGATTGGTGGCCACTGTATTATTTAGTTCGGAAATGTTAAGTTATAGTTTGTGTTGACTCCTTAATGGTATGTCTGTGTGGATTAAAGATTAGGTTAGGTTAGGTTAGGTTAGGTTGCTAGGTTACGTTAAGTTAGGGTGAGTTAGGTTAGTTTGTGGGTTAGGTTAGGTTAGGTTAGGTTAGGTTATGTTTGGTTGCTAGGTTACGTTAAGTCAAGGTGAGTTAGGTTAGTTTAGGTTAGGTTGTTAGATTGGTTAGGTTAGGTTGGTTAGGTTAGTTTAGTTTAGTTTAGGTTAGGTTAGGTTGCTAGGTTAGATTAGGTTAGTTTACGTAAGATTGCTTGGTTAGATGTGTGTGTGTGTGTGTGTGTGTGTTTGTGTGTGTGTGTGTGTGTGTGTGTGTGTGTGTGTGTGTGTGTGTGTGTGTGTGTGTGTGTGTGTGTTCTCCAAGGTAAAATATCTCCTTTTATCGTGGAAGTGTTTACAAAGTCATACACTCTGGCGTAATGAAAGTTTTATACAATATAGGAGAAAGATCTTTACGTAAGTCATTATACACTGACGTTATACACAATTATTTACATTCTTGATTAACGTATTTATTTTTTATATATATATTTTTTGTTGTTGAGTTTTTGAATAATATTAATGATGGCAGTAGTCGCTATGCACACAGGTTGCATACGTGTAGTTGTTAAGTAGTTGAAGGCATCCTAACAACCTAACCTAACCTAACCTAACCTAACCTAACCTAACCTAACACAACCTAACCTAACCTAGTCCAAACAGTTGACTCTTAAGACTTTATTTATAATGTATGAGTAAATTAGGGAAATAACTATAATGTATGAGGAAATTAGGGGAAATATTATGAGTTGAGGGAAACAACAATGTAACATCTCTCTCACTCTCTGTTTCTCAGGCTGTGACAGTGCTGAGGAAGATAGTGACATCATACGAGGTAAGTCTCTCTCTCTCTCTAAAGTCGGGATTCTTATAAGTTTGTTACTTGACAACACTCTTAAGTACTTCAACTGGCCACAGAAACAAAGACAAGAGTCATTTACCTTGATTGAGTTTGTGTCTTCCTGCTGTTGTTTGAGGATGGCTGTTATACTGTGTGGGGGAGGGGGGGGTAGGGAGGAGGAGGTGACAGTGGGGGGTGGGGAGGAGGGGGGACAGTGGGGGGGTGGTGGGGAGGGAGGAGGCAGGGGGGGGGGTGGGGAGGAGGGAGGTGACAGTGGGGGGGGTGGGGTGGGAGGGAGGAGACAGTGGGGGGGTAGGGAGGGAGGAGGTGACAGGGGGGGGTAGGGAGGAGGGAGGGACAGGGGGGGGGTAGGGGAGGGAGGAGGGAGGTGACAGGGTGGGGGGGTAGGGAGGAGGGAGGTGACGTGGGGGGGGGTGGTAGGGAGGGAGGGAGGTGACAGGGGGGGGGTGGGTAGGGAGGGAGGGAGGTGACAGTGGGGGGGTGGGAGGGGAGGGAGGGGGGGGGGGGGGGGGGACAGTGGGGGGGGGTGGGGGGGGGAGGTGACAGGGGGGGTGGGTGGGGAGGAGGGAGGTGACAGGGGGGGTGGTAGGGAGGGAGGAGGTGACAGGGGGGGTGGGTGGGGAGGAGGGAGGTGACAGTGGGGGGGTGTAGGGGAGGGAGGCAGGTGACAGTGGGGGGGGTGGGTGGGGAGGGAGGCAGGTGACAGTGGGGGGGGGGGAGGGAGGGGCGGGGGGGGGGTAGGGGAGGAGGCGGAGAGTGGGGGTGGGGAGGGAGGGGGTGACAGGGGGGTGGGTAGGGAGGAGGGAGGACAGTGGGGGGGTAGGGAGGGAGGGAGTGACAGTGGGGGGGGTAGGGAGGAGGCAGGTGACAGGGGGGGGTGGGGGAGGAGGCAGGTACAGTGGGGGGGGTAGGGAGGAGGCAGGTGACAGTGGGGGGGTGGGGGGAGGAGGCAGGTGACAGGGGGGGTGGTAGGAGGGGAGGTGACAGTGGGGGGGGTGGGGAGGAGGACAGTGGGGGGGTGGGAGGGAGGAGGTGACAGGGGGGGGGTAGGGAGAGGGTGACAGTGGGGGGGTGGTAGGGAGGAGGAGGTGACAGGGGAGGGTGGTGGGGAGGAGGAGGGACAGTGGGGGGTGGTTGGGAGGAGGCAGGACAGTGGGGGGGGTGGTGGGGAGGGAGGGAGGCAGGTGACAGTGGGGGGGGGTAGGGGAGGAGGGAGGTGACAGTGGGGGTGGTAGGGAGGGAGGAGGTGACAGGGGGGTGGGGGGTAGGGAGGGTGAGCAGTGGGGGGGGTGGTAGGGAGGGAGGGAGGTGACAGTGGGGGGGTAGGAGGGAGGGAGGTGACAGTGGAGGGTGGTAGGGGGGGAGGGAGGTGACAGTGGGGGGTGGTAGGTAGGAGGAGGCAGGTGACAGCAGATGAGAGAGAGGGAGGTCAGGGTAGAGTGGGGGAGGGGCTAGTTTATTGTGCACCCCATACCTGCCCTGTAGACGGTAGGGCAAAGAATTACAGAGTAGAGGTCAGGATGTTGTGGCCTTAATTGTGACAAAGTATTTCAAATTGGGAACTGTCCGCTGGGGTCTAAGGAAGCGCTGTTGTGCCCTCAACTTTGTACAGATGGTCTAGTCCAAACATCTTCATATGTGTAGCTGTAGTTTGGATCCATACTCAGTCGTCCAATGGTTCATACATTCTTGTAATTTTAAGGAAACAATGTTATCAGGATCACCACGCAGAAGCCTCAGGGCTATCATGAGGTTGACTTCAATATTCTATCTTTTAACACTGGGTATACCTAGTTCTTTCCTCATATTAAGTTCTTTAGTGCTCATGGGACATCCTAGGTGAATTCTGAGGGCTTTATTTTGCATTTTTTCGAGCTTGTCAATGCCGTTCCCACCACGAAGGACCAGGGCTGGTGCGTGGTAATCTATCAGAGATCTTATATAGCCTAGGTACAGTTGCTGAAATGTGTTCCTCCAGCCCCTGTGGTAACCAGTGTCTCCAAATGGCCAACCTATAAGACCTGTATCAAACCTATCCACCAATCACGTCCGTCGTTACAAGACCAATACCCATTCATTCATAAACAGTGATACAACTACTGCGATGTTGCCGTTTGGAGACACGAGTTACCACAGGGCTGGAGTAACACATTTCAGCATCTGTACATTATTTTAGCACCATAGTGCGGGCTGTACCCCTACACTTCTAAGAGGTCTCAGTCTGTCAGTACATTGGTGGGTTAGCTGTTGTATGGCAGGTAGGGCAAGGACGGAAACACCAAGATATTTAAAAGAAGAAACATAGTCAATAGTGTTGTTACCTATCTTGAACTGTTGGGGAGGTGTTGGGGAGGTGGGGGTGGGGAGGTGTTGGGGAGGGGTGGGGGGAGGTGTTGGGGAGGTGGGGGAGAGGTATTGGGGAGGTCTGGAGGGTGGGAGAGGGGGTGGGGAGGTGTTGGGGAGGTGGGGGTGGGAGAGGTGTTGGGGAGGTGGGGGTGGGGAGGTTGGGGAGGTGGGGTGGGGAGGTGTTGGGGAGGTGGGGGTGGGGAGGTGTTGGGGAGGTGGGGTGGGAGGTGTTGGGGGGGTGGGGAGGTGTTGGGGAGGTCTGGGGGGTGGGGGGGTGGGCAGGTGGGTGGTTGTGGCAGGTGGGTGGTGGTGGTGGGCAGGTGGGTGGTGGTGGTGGGCAGGTGGGTGGTGGTGGGCAGGTGGGTGGTGGGGCAGGTGGGTGGTGGTGGGCAGGTGGGTGGTGGTGGGCAGGGGTGTGGTGGGGCAGGTGGGTGGTGGGGGCAGGTGGGTGGTGGTGGGCAGGTGGGTGGTGTGGTGGGCAGGTGGGTGGTGGTGGGCAGGTGGGTGGTGGGCAGGTGGGTGGTGGTGTGGGGCAGGTGGGTGGTGGTGGGCAGGTGGGTGGTGGTGGTGGGGCAGGTGGTGGGTGGGTGGTGGGGCAGGTGGTGGTGGTTGTGGCAGGTGGGTGGTGGTGGGGGAGGTGGGTGGTGGGCAGGTGGGTGGTGGTGGGCAGGTGGGTGGTGGGCAGGTGGGTGGCAGGTGGGTGGGTGGTGGGTGGGTGGTGGTGGTGGCAGGTGGGTGGTGGTGGGCAGGTGGGTGGTGGTGGTGGGCAGGTGGGTGGTGGTGTGGGCAGGTGGGTGGTGGTGGGCAGGTGGGGTGGTGGTGGGCAGGTGGGTGAACTTTGATGACATTATCTTGTGTTGTCTCGTTACCTGGACGAGCTGTCTCGCATTACAGTCTTTTTTCGCAACACTGGGTCATACAAACGGGGTCTCTGCAACACTGGGTCTATACAAACAGGGTCTCTGCAACACTGGGTCTATAAACAGGGTCCTGCAACACTGGGTCTATACAAACAGGGGTCTCTGCAACACTGGGTCTATACAAACGTCTTGCAACACTGGGTCTATACAAACGGGGTCTCTGCAACACTGGGTCTATACAAACGGGGTCCTTGCAACACGTGGTCTATACAAACAGGGTCTCTGCAACACTGGGTCTATACAAACAGGGTCTCTGCAACACTGGGTCCTACAAACAGGGTCTCTGCAACACTGGGTCTATACAAACGGGGTCTTTGCAACACTTGGTCTTTACAAACAGGGTCTTTGCAACACTTGGTCTTTACAAACAGGGTCTTTGCAACACTTGGTCTTTACAAACAGGGTTTCTGCAACACTTAGTCTTACAAACGGGGGTCTCTGCAACACTGGGCTTTACAAACAGGGTCTTTGCAACACGGTCTATACAAACAGGGTCTTTTGCAACACTGGGTCTATACAGGGTCTTTGCAACACTGGGTCTATCAAACGGGGTCTTTGCAACACTGGGTCTATACACCGGGTCTCTGCAACACTGGGTCTATACAAACAGGGTTCTGCAACACTGTCTATACAAACGGGGGTCTCTGCAACACTGGTCTTTACAAACGGGCTCAACATTGGTCTATACAAACGGGGTCTCTGCAACACTGGGTCTATACAAAACGAGGTCTTTGCAACACTTGGTCTATAAACGGGGTCTTTGCAACACTTGGTCTTTACAAACGGGTCTTTGCAACACTTGGTCTTTTACAAACGGGGTCTTTGCAACACTTGGTCTTACAAACGGGTCTTTGCAACACTGTCTTTTACAAAATGGGTCTATACAAACGGGGTCCTTTAAACACGGGTCTTTGCAACATTTGGTAAGTCGACTCTGCTCTGTCTGCTGCTCACAAAGTCATCAGTCTCTGTCATCCACACACACACTGAAGGAGAACCATGCACACACACACTGGAAGGAGAACCATGCACACACACACTGAAGGAGAACCATGCACACACACACTGAAGGAGAAACCATGCACACACACACTGAAGGAGAACCATGCATACACACACTGAAGGAGAACCATGCACACACACACTGAAGGAGAACCATGCACACACACACTGAAGGAGAAACATGCATTACCACACACTGAAGGAGAAACCCATTACCACACACTGAAGGAGAACCATCCATTACCACACACTGGAGGAGAACCACATACACACACACTGAAGGAGAACCATGCACACACACACTGAAGGAGAACCATGCACACACACTGAAGGAGAACCATGCATTACCACACACTGAAGGGAGAACCATCCACACACACACTGAAGGGAGAAACCATGCACACACACACTGAAGGAGAACCATGCATTACCCCCACTGAAGGAGAGAAACTGGCATGCCACACACTGAAGGAGAACCATCCACACACACACTGAAGGAGAAACCATGACACACACACTGAAGGAGAACCATGCATTACCACACACTGAAGGAGAACCATGCATTACCACACACTGAAGGAGAACCATGCATTACCACACACTGAAGGAGAACCATGCATACCACATGAAGGGAGAAACCATGCACACACACACTGAAGGAGAACCATGCATTACCACACACTGAAGGAGAACCACGCACACACA